TCTCGTAGAGCTACAAGCATCGTTTGGCCAGCCTTCGCTTAGAGGCATCTTCAAGGTCAATTCGGTCGCGCTAGTAGACAACTGCTACCACCACCCCGTCGAGAGGTTTTTCAAAAAGTATCGCTATTGCGGAGACGGGCACCGGGGGCACCCACGTCTATGCGACCGGCGACGACGGGGGGGGGGGAAACATCAGCCCGACCTGCTGTCTCGTGATCAGATGTAACAACATTGGTGCACGTGTCGTCGTCCAATGGGTCATTGATCTTCGTCATGGAAATCAGCTGGTGATTCAAGCGGGACGATAAGACACTGACTGATTAGTCGACGAGGACCGAGAAACAGGTGGATACTGTTGGGTGCTGACAGATGCCAATCTTACGGCGGGTGCGATCAGCGTAGGACCACTGGAAAGGTGTTCGATGTGTGCTCTTTCCGCAGTCCTGTCGAGTGCGAATTCAGCCACACGCTCGGAGGTCTAAGGCCCTGAGGAACAGAATCATAGTTTCACTCACGAGGCTAGTAGCGGGTGTGTAGTGCAACTGGCCCGCGTAGTAGGATCTGTACGGGGCGAAAAGGATAGGTCCTCCGGGCACGTAACTCACTGAGTGGACACCGAAGGAAACGGTGAGATCATCGGACCCTAAGTCGTACGTATAGTTCTCCGGGAAATCATACTTGGATCCATTGGAAGTCGAAGCGCGCTAAAGCTGCTCTGGACTCTTTTCCATTGCTTCCCGTCGCTGTTCTTTGAATAGCGAACATGACGCCACTACCATCGCAGAGGTAGACAGTATACGAGAGAAACCAAGAAAGAAATACATTGCTGTCAAAGAAGGAGCGGCGAGGAAAGCAACCATCGAATGTTTGCTAAAAGTGGTCGAGGAAAGTGGTGTGGACTGGTCACCAGAGGCACGGGAGGTCGTTTAGAGATTCGATCATGCTCTGCCTGGACAGGACAGTGGTCACAACCATCGTGTCATCTTCCAGGGTATGATCCTGCCCTCGAAATTTCCACATGGTAAATTACGTAACGTCGGCCACCTGGCGAAATGGCATCGCGTCTGACTACGACTAAACAGCTACTTACGTAATCAGGAGATTGTAGGTTCGACCCCTACGGCGGTCATTTGTTTTTGCATTGTGTTCATTATTTACGTATCGTCAACAGGAGGGGGCGTGCTCGGTCCCTGTGGTCTTTTTTCGCATTCTCCAACGTTCCCTGGGCTACTGGAGACAACGTAGATAGCGCGAGATCCCAGAGTTTCCTCTGACCCGCGGCGTCCCATCTCGAGATGGACGGCGTTTGTTGCAAATCGTATGTTAGAATCGGCGGCAGAGTTGGGGTCGGCGTCGCGCATCCAGTGTTTTCCCTGTGAGACGAAGATGATGATAAGAAGTGGCGCAATGACCTTCGCGGTGGTGAATGAGTAAGTGCCACGGTATAATGGAAGTTTTCTTGGGAAGATCGTACCTGTATTTGGCACAATGAGGTCAGGAATACGTATTGCACTGGGCTATCAACCACGTAGAGAATTAGGTATAGAACAGCCCACAAAACGTAGAGCCCGGATGACTCTATCGTCATGACGGCAATACACAAGTATGGCGATGCATGACCTGGACCTGAAATGGGTGATCTCAACAAACGGCACGGAAGGCTCATGAACGCTTCCCCACTCACCGAGGACGCTGTTCAATTTCCTCCGATGTAAAAGTACCCTTGTCACTACCAGTATCGTCGAAATGATACTGAGTGAAACAGAGAGTACAAAGCAAGCTATCTCGATTGGTGCGGCACTTTCCGAGTAGAGTATCTGTTCCACCTCGGAGGGGTGGGCAGTGACGAAACCCGACAGTCCTAGACGTAACCCAGAATAATTACATCCAAACACATGATATGAGGGGTCGAAAAGCATACCAATGACACTGAGGTACAAGACCGACGGGAGGATAATCACCCACATCCGGTAACGGGAACCATGGTAAAGGACGGAGAGGCGCCAGAGCTTCGTACAAAGCGGATTACCTTAGGCTTTTCAAAGAGAAAGAATGAAATCTCACCACTAAGCCATCTCCCATCCAATTTGATATCATGAAGCTCGCTGTTCCTATGCGAGAGATAGGACCGCTCCAAGACATGTCCGAGTAGCCCACAGTGCTGCCAGCCGAACCAGGGTTATTGAAATATGGAAGCAGCGCGCGCCAGGAGCTGGCAATGGTATATAGGGTCCCTAACACAAACATAACGGATATGTAGGTAAGGTGACACCAAGTACGTCGCCGCCTGGGTCGATCCAACTTGGAGCTGCGAAGGTTTTGAGACAAGGAGTGTACACAGATAGTATAAAGAGTTAGCATGATCCCGTAGGCAATGCCAGAAATGGAGGTGCTGCTCAAAAGGGCTAATCCTGTGGCCGATTCGTTGACCGTCAATTCTACGCTTGAGCTGGGGGGCATGGTGTTGTCCGAGAAGCGCTGAATATGCAGGCGCAAATCGACAGGTGGTCAGAGTTAAAAGCAATCAAATGGTATAGAAGGCTCATATCCATAGTGATTGATTGCCGGGTACCAGACGTGGTTCCACGGCCGAGGCGGAGTACCACCGACTAAATCGTGAGTGAGTCTACGATGAATGATGATCATACGAATTTAACTGACGCAGTGCAAGTGCAATGAGCCGCATCAGCAATGTACTAGTATAGGTGTTAAGGTCAAACGTGCCTGTGATTACCAAGCAAATGGACGCCGGGATTATAGAATCGAACGAATACATTGACGACACAGAACTGAACGATGTAGTCCGATCAAACTGGCCATGGACGGGCGGTAGACAATAATCCCAGCGCTAGGGAAAACCTAACCGTGCCTTGTATCCACTGATGGCCAACACAGGCTGTATGCTTGTCGGTAGTGACGCCACACCTCAAGTTCAACAGCATAGGGTGGTCAAGGATAACGACTCGGAGTATCCGCAGCCAGTACTGTTCAGTCGCATCTTGGTGCTTGAGAATTGATTCCAGATCTCGTATCAGAGTTATGTATAGCAATGAGGGCAACTGCGAAAGTTTAAAGCTCCGAATCAGCGGACCGTCGCCCAATCACACTCGTGACGCCAGAACAGAAGTACCTAACCAAATAGTTCTCCATAGCGAGAGTCCCCTTGAACCGTCCCGCACGCTTAATAACTAGTGCGCAAGCCTCGCGTAGACATACAGCTATCTTCTTGCGACTTCTACCTAGTCGATAATGGTGCGATCCTGGTCGGGGGCTGAGGAGTGGGTGATATCGCATGGGAGGCGAGGTTATGTCCACCAAACGTCCAAACCACCAATGCAACGCAAAACAAACCATATTTCACGCCGCAGTCGGTGCATGTGAGCCCGGGTCTCGCACCAAAGATCCAAGTTACCCAAAGATTCAACTCGACGTCAACGTACGGACGCACGTAGATATGCCTGTGGGCGACGTCCGCGATATTCTGGTTGAAAGCTCGCCTTTCGTCCTCGCAATAGATCGAGGCGCTAAGGAGGAGCTGGGTGAAATAACTTGAATGTCCTTAACGACCAACTCAGTGAAAACTGCGTACGGAGTGCCTCAGTTCCGTTGGTGTCTTCGGCCCGATGACACAAGTCTTTCGACGTACGCTCCGTGTGCTCGATTGATGTGCAATCTAACCTTGGAGAGGTTAATGAATGAATGGGACGACGTTAGAAAACTCGAGTGGACTCACTTTTCACAGACGACGGCAGCGGCACTCGTCGTGTCCCCGCAGTCGAACTAATACTAATAGAGCCCGCAGAGGTGGATCGAGGAAGGGGTTTTGTAACAGTTAGGTCTCTTTAGATCCGCGAAGCCTCGTACCGCATCGAAGATACCGATGGCATGCAGCCTTTAGAAGGTACACTCTGCATTGCAGCGTACTCCGTTCATTTGAGGTGAGTGGGATTTAATTGGTGTGCGCCATAAGAATTGCGGGTGTGATTCATGGGAATGGCAATTTGTCCATTTTGAAAGTAGGTTGGACGCCATTGCAGCCGTAACGATACTGAGAGTCCAGCCAAGAGTCCAACTACAACTCTAACTCATTTGCGGTTTTTTTCGCTGCCGTCCGAGATCCCCTCACAAAAACGTAGGATGCGCTTGGCATGTCATTGACCGGTGCCATTTTTCGATCTACCAGTGCGTCGCGGAGGACAAGGTCGCAGGAAGAGATACCAGCAGCTGACGACGTTTTGACAGAATAGACGCAAGCAAGATTGACGAAACCAAACGTGGGGAGAATTCCGGGGTCCAAAGAGCCAAACGAATACGGTGAGGACCCCCGCATATTGCCTATGAGCATATATCCAAAACCGCCGAATTTCGGTACATCCGTCCGCCCGGATTTTCGCCACATCCGTCCGAAATTTACTCGGACCCCTGTTTTTGACCCCAGACCCGTCCGCCAAGAGGATATGACCTGAAAATACGAGCCTCCCGTCCGCCCGAGAGGATATAGGCTCAATTCATGGGCCATCCGTCCGCACAGCGGGATATAAGTTCATTTCGTGGGGGAAATTCACGCAATCCAAGCATAATTGGTCAAGGG